ACTCAGTACTTCGGCGCGGGCACCCGGCTGTCGGTGCTAGGTGAGCGGGGACGCTGCCGCCGGGGACGGGGCGGGACGCCCGGCGGGTTTTTGCGCGGCGCTGGGGGCCCGTGACTCAGCCCCGGTACTTCGGGCCGGGCACGCGGCTCCTGGTGCTAGGTGAGCGCGGGCGGCGCGCCTCGGTTTGGCTGGGGAGCCCCGGGGCTGTGCTTTACAGGCGCCGCCCTGCCCTTCGGGCCCGGCAGCCGGCTGACCGTGGTGGGTGAGTGTCCGCGGGCGCGGCAGCGGCGGCGGGGCGGGATGGAAGGCGGCGAGCGCGGGACGTGGCGGACGCGGGCACCTGGTCCCCTCGCAGCAGTGAAGCGGGGCGCTGGGACCCGGGAGCGGCCTGGAGCTGCGGGGGTTTGAGTGCGGGGCTTCTCACTGTGCTCCTATGAGCAGTATTTTGGCCCAGGCACCAGGCTCACGGTCATAGGTAAGATTTGGATGCCTCCCCTCTTTCCAGCCCAGCTCCTGGGGGTTCCCCACAGATGGGTGGTGTGGGCTGGAGCTGGGGTGCGTGTCCAGTTGTCCATCTGGGGGGTCAACTCTGCAAGGGAGGTGGGGAATATTGGGTGGGGAGGGTTTTGGGTAGGGATACTCCCGGGACGGGAATTTGGACAGAGGGAAAGGGGGGCTTTGGTCTCTTTGTTTCTGAGATATTTAGGGACAGGGTGAGCATTGGAGAAAGAGAGGATTTATTGGGACTCTGAGAGCTGCTTGATTGGAGAAAAAGACCGTGGAGGGCAATCTGGGCGGGGGGAAGGGCAGGAGGGGGTGTAGCTGATGCAAAGGGGAGAATGAGCCCGAGGGGCAGGAACAAGCAGGGATGAGCACAAGATGTGGCCCCCTGCACAGCCGGCTCCTGGGAGTGCAGATGGAGGCTTCCACTGAACAGAGGAGAAAAAGGATGACAAACAAGTGTGGAACAGAGAGGTGAGAGAGAGAAACCCGAGGCATGAGGGAGAGAATCAAAGTCAGCGGGGTTTGTTGATTTACTGTTTAGAAGTTTGGATTTGAAATTAGCTTTAAAACCTCTTCCTAAGCCCCAGACCCCTGAGGGCCAGGCCGTGTGTACAGCACACGGGGGCTAGATGGGAACCTGGGCCACTGGGTGGATTTACTCACCAAACGTACCCCCCTCATCCCCTAGCCGGAAATCTCCCTCCTCACACCATGTCTTCTAGGTTAAACAGCCAGGTGGGGCAGGACATACATTAAAATGCAGGTATTTTGCTTGTGAGCTGAGGAACATTCCCTGGAGGATCTTAGGCTCTTTGTGCTGGAAAAGGTTAAAGGTCACCTGGTGATGGGAGCATTGAGGCTTCAGGGGGAAGAACCCCTCAAAACTGGTATATTTACTGGCTTATTTGACAACAGCAAGCGTGTTTGTAGTTAGGCTCCTTAAGATGGAGCCAATGAGGCTCAGCTGAAGTGTTTGTTCCCGGAGGGGAAGCTGGGTTCCTGTGATCAGCCAGGGTGGAGAAAAGCAGGAGACCTTACAACCAGGTAAATCTAGGTCCCAAGCCCTGGCCCTTTAATGATCTGCTGACCTTGGTCAAGTGAATCTGTGGGAACATCCCCTCTTCTGTACAAGGTCATCAACAATACCTACTGCTAAATCTGCTGTGAGACTTACAAGAGTAGCTACATGGAGAGTATCCAGGAAACCTCTTGTAATCCAGTGGTCCCCTCCCTACCCTTCCGCTAGGTGGCCACTGGCAAGGGAGGCGAGCCCAGTGCCAAAGGAGGGGCAGGTTTGGCATGTGGCTAATGGGCAGGAGGGCTGGGAACAGGACCCATAAACTTCAGAATTCTGCCTGAGGCTAGTTCAGCCCACATCCAAGCACACACAACAGAAGCTCACCAGGACACACACGTGCACCCACGTGGGCAAGCCGACCCACACCCCACAGGGACTCGCAAACACGGAGGGAGAACTGGCTTTGCCCTCATCATGGAGCCATGTAGTCAGTGCTTCAGGGTGTAAGGAAGGTCTGGCTTCCGATCGTCCTGTCCATCACGTCACCATCATGGGGAGCATCGCACGTGGCTCAAAAGGCATCTTTACTTTTTCCAATAGGGGCTGAGAGTTTGCTGGGTGAGGAGGTCAGAGGAGTAGATTCCATAGTGCCCTTGGAGGGCTGGTTGAACCCCAGGGGCAGGGGCTTTGAGGCGAGAGTGAATAACCAGGCTGGGGGCAGAAAGCCTGATGGAGCTGCACAGCAGAGAGAAGTTAGGAGATTACCTGGTCGGCCAGTAAGGACCTAGGGACAGAGGAGTGAGTAGTCAGCAAGGTGGGAAATGCAGGGCGGGGCAGCAGACCTCCTGGGCAGCAGAACCACTGCCACGGGAACACCCAGGGCTTTTGCTAAAAATTACTTAGAATTTCAAAATGACGACAGCAGCACATTAAATCAATAAGGGGCCCTTCTAAGTGTGGGGTCCTCTGTGACTGCACAGGTCACACACCCAGGAAGCCATCCCCTCTAGTCAGGTCACATCCAGGGAAATGTGAAGAGTCGGTTAGAAGAACATTTTCTCCATCTTCCAGCCTAAACTAGATCTCTTTAGAGTGAGATGTCTTCCTTTTAACAGAATTGCTCAGAAACAAACAAAACAATCGATAAAAAGCAAAGAGCAGAATAACATGGTAGTAGGAGGGCCGAGAAGCAATGGGCCAGCCAAATGGGAAGGCCGCAGGGGCATTAACTGGACCGCCTTCACCTGGAGCCCTGGAGGACGCCACACACCAGGGGCTTAGTTGTAGCAAGACAGCTGAGAGCAGAAGTTGCTCTGATGATCTCACATGCCTATTTAGGAAGCTTGCTGGTAGGGTAGAGTAGAATACGTGGAACCAAAGGGACAAAATAGGTTGAAGATGCCTGCATTTGAAACATAGGGAGATGGCTATCTGCCTGAGCTGAGGAAACTCAGGGGTACCTGGAGGCAGAGGAATGGCTAGGATGACCCGCTGAAGCAGCAGAAAGAAAGAAAACCTCCCATTCTCATGAGCACACCCTAATACAAAAGGCTGTCCTCACGTGGTGCCCCCAAATATGCCATCTGTATACTGTCATCTGAAGAAAAACCCCAACCCCCAAATGACCCCCTTAGCCCCAAATCCCCTTTACTCCTCGACCCCTGAGACTCACATACAAGTAACCCAGCTGAGGGCAGGGGCTTTCTGAATCCTTATATCATTTCATCTCCACCCCCGCGCTGGACAGTCGGTGTTGGGATTCTCCCTTCACAGGCAGGAAAAATGATGCAGAGACTATGGGAGACTGTCTAAAGTCATGTTGGTGGGCAAAGTCAGTGCCAAGCTTTGAATTCCGTTCTTCTGCCTCCAATCCACTGCTCTATTTAAATAACTACTACATATTATGGGGAGAAAAAGACAGGTAAGCTTTTCTTGATGGATAAGAAATCAAATAAGGGGAAAGAAGAGACATTACTCAGAATGTTGGGCAGTGCCGTTTGTAAGGCCACCTTAGGGGCTGGGGACACGGAAGACAGGCCTGTCGTAGGGTCAATACAAAGGCCAGGCAGGCCGAGGGAGCACAGTCACAGAGGAGCGGGTGGTGACCCCCAAACAAACAACCAGGACCTACTACCACATAATTTCCTTCTACGATGACCCCGTGGCCCCCTTCCCTGTGCCCCCAACTCACACGCGCAGGCGGCCCTCCGGGCACCCGTGCTCCCAACCCCTCTCCCTTCCAGACGACCTGAGCAAGGTGACCCCACCCAAGGTGGCTGTGTTCGAGCCGTCGGCAGCAGAGATCTCGCGGACCCAGAAGGCCACGCTCGTGTGCCTGGCCACGGGCTTCTACCCCGACCACGTGGAGCTGAGCTGGTGGGTGAACGGGAAGCAGGTCGAGACAGGGGTCAGCACGGACCCTCAGCCCCACAAGGAGGACCCCAGCCGCAATGACTCCAGCTACTGTCTGAGCAGCCGGCTGAGGGTCTCCGCCACCTTCTGGTACAACCCTCGCAACCTCTTCCGCTGCCAAGCCTGGTTCCACGGGGTCTCGGACGAGGACGAGTGGAAGCAGGACAGGCCCAAACCCGTCACCCAGAACATCAGTGCCGAGGTCCGGGGCCGAGCAGGTGAGCCGCTCCGGGAGGGTTCGGCAAGGAGGGAGGCAGAGCAGACGGAGAGGGAGGTCCAGGGAGGAGAGCAGAGAGACTAGATGCAGAATAAAGGGGAGGGTGTGGGAAGCCCACCGTGAGGGAGGACAGGGCACCTCGGGCTACTTCCTCCCCCACACCCCAGATCGTCAGCCCAGCTCAGCTGTGCTGAAAGGTCCCCCTCCCTACGCGCCTGCACAGCTCAGGGTCTGAGCAGTGGGTCCTCATCCCCTTCAGTGCTGCCATGTTCCATGACCTTCGAGGATGCTGTGGCCACATCGCCAAAACAGAAGGAAGGCGCTGCTAGGACTCTGACCAGAGGCTGCCCTGAGCCTGGGAGTCTGTGCTGACTACAAGTCTGCCTTAGTTTTTTGTTTTTCTTGGTTTATTTGAAAGCAGCTCAAAATACCACACATTTGTTATTGTAGAGTTTCGATGGGTCAGGAATGTGGGCATAACTTAGCTGGCTCGTCTTCCTCAGGAGGCTGCAATCAGGTGTCAGCCAAAGCTGGAGTCTTCTCTGAAGGCTCAACTGGGGAAGGATCCACTTCTAAGCTCACATGGTTGTTGGCAAGAGTTAGGACCTTGCCAGCTATTGGGCTGAGGAAGGCTGGCTTAGTTTTGAATCTGCCTTTGAAGATGGACTCTCTCATCCATTTCCCTCCCCGTGTTTTCTTTCAGACTGTGGCCTCACCTCGGGTAAGTGGCCCTCTGCTCCTTTGTCTCCATCTCCCATGGTCTTTTCTCTGGAATCAGAGAATGCAAAACCCATGAACCCTGGTGGGGCATGGAAGGGTGGGTGGTGCGTGGGCAAGGAGACCAGAGATCCCTGCTCACAGGTACCTACCTGCTCTCCCTTCCTGCCAACAGCGTCCTACCAGCAAGGGGTCCTGTCTGCCACCATCCTCTATGAGATCCTGCTGGGGAAGGCCACCCTCTATGCTGTGCTGGTCAGCGCCCTGGTGCTGATGGCCATGGTAAGGACGAGGGCAGGATGGGGCCGACTGGTTGGAGGTGACACTTGAAACACAGCAGCTGACACCCAGGAACACAGAGAACCTGCCAGGACCAGAATGGGCAGAGAGGAAGGTGGGGAGTCATCCACATGCCTCAGAAGACACTTATATCTGGGATCATTATGCAAGTACCATGCTGTGAAGGAGAAATGGGGGTCACCTGAATCCCGAATGGATGGATGTTGGAGGAACCCTGCTATTTGTCTTGTCAGTGGGAAATCCTACTTCCTCTCATTCCCCAGCACTGCTGGCTCCTGGTAATTCCCAAACTTTCTCTTCTTCAGGTCAAGAGAAAGGATTCCTGAAGCCAGCTTAGAGGTGGAGCCAGCTTAGAGGTGAAGCCAGCTTAGAGGTGGAGCCAGGAGCTTCCAGCATGTTATGGCCCTGATGTGAATTCTGCTTTTTCCATTCCTACCCAGTGCTTCAGAAGAGCTGCTCTCAACTTTCTTCGCATCCCATTATCTACCCCTGTGTGCATGCACCCCAAACACTCATGACCAAAATCTCCCTAGCCCAAGGGGGACCCTTTGATTACTCTGAGGTTTTTTTCCCACCCCACTCAATCAGACCAAGCGGGCCTGAACGGATTCAACCAATAAAAATGGCCTGATCTGGCTTGAGTCTGCCTTGTGAGTGTCTAGATATCTCTTCCGTCCATCTCTGAAGTCCCATGTGACTCCAGCCAGGGTAGAAACAAGAGGTATTCAAGAAACTGCAGGCCCCTCAGGTAGGAGGGTCAAGGGACCCAGCCTGTGGCTGGTACTACTCCACACTGAGGGCACTACTCAGCTTTCTCCATCACCAAGGAGTGATTCCAGGTGAGAAGAAGAGAAATTACTATCCTCATTATCAGATGTACCTTCCAGTTTAAGTTACAAAGCTGGATATAAATTTCACTCTAGTGAATTAAATGTGTGTGAATATGGCCCTGATCAGTCCTGAGAGGATAGAAAATCAGTTTCCCTAAAACCAAGGATCAGCCCTGTTGGTATTTCTAGAAATCCTTCCAAAGCTCTTTACTGTCTCATTGTCACCATGGTGATGTAACCCAAAGTCCGCAGGATGGCATAAAAGACCCACCTTTGTCCTCCACCACCTTATCCACACTCACCCTCACTCCTGTCACCCTGAACCCCCGAGTCACTGGCTCTCAGGCCGTCTTGCACTCCTCTACCTGGAATGACACATATGTGTGCTCCCACTCATCCTTGCAGGTTCAATGGTGACGTCTTCCCCAGCAAGTAGCCTTCTCTGGAGGATCTTTGCCCCTTACTCCATGCAAATGGATGAAATTCTCCCTGTATTTTGCTATCACAGTACCCTGTGTGCATCTCCTTCCTGCCACTGACCACAGTTGATGGAAACTACCTCTTTCCTTGTCTGACACCCCCACTAGAAGGTCAGCTCCTTGAGGACCAGGTTGTGTGGTATTACAGTATCCTTGCGACGTGGCATAGTACCTTGGTTCAGTGTACAAACCCAATACATTCTCTTTAAAGAAATGAATGGATCAATGAGTTTGCCCAAAGTGACCCAATTCAGGAGCAGATACCACTCTAAGCGCTGCCTGGAACAGCCATCTGTACCCCCCCCACCGGTCTGCAGCACACAGCCTCCTCCCACTATTGCAACACTGCGTGCATTCTAACATGGGTGTCTGCACATATACCAACACACATGCACAAACACGTATGTCTACATGTATGCATGAGCAGAGGCACCTACTCGTGAAGCACATATCATCGCAACATTTGCTAGTAACCTTCAAGAAAACAAAGATATCCAGGTCACAGTCCCCAAGAAGCTTCCCTGCTCATAAGGGGGATAATTCATGAATAGAAACAGTTAACGTACAAGGTGATGCTTGCAATAGCAAGGTGATCTGTCTCCGAAAATGCAGGCAGAGGCTAGCACGAGGTTTCTGACGGGGACAATCAGGGGAGAGTCTGAGGAGGTGGCAGTTCTTCAAAGGAACAACCGGTCTCAGCCATGTGGGAGAGAGGTCATGATAGTCGGATGTATGAACAGGATATGAAACTACAGGGTCAGGTACTTCTGCTCAGCGGGCTGCGAGGTCCAAGATGGAAGTCATAAGGCTGAAAAGGCAGGTTGGGGCTTCCCGCTTTGAGAGCGGACTCTATCCTTGCAACCAGCATGAGGCCTGGCATATAGTAGATGTGCATTACGTGTCTGTGGACTAATGAAGGGGAAGGAGCTCGGACCCTATTCAGGAAGCAATGGGGAATCGCAGAGCTTTCCAGGCTGTGTGTTCTCCTGCCCTAAGTTGCCATCACCTGCTCTAGGGATGCTCCGCCCACGTGCCTCACTATAAATGCCAGTCTGTGCAGGTGGGCACAGTGAGTCCCAGAGGGGAGCCCTGATGACATAGGAGATCTCCTCAGGGTGGCGTAGGTTCCAGGAGGCGCCTCTCTGTCCCCTTCCCCCTCCACTAGCACCCTAACATTCCCCAAGCCCCTCCCCACTTTCGATTACTCTGAGGTTTTTTTCCCACCCCACTCAATCAGACCAAGCTCTGCCACCTGCACTTCCTGACTCCGCACAGTCGTTAGGGGAGGGGGACAATAGGAGAGGACATTTTTGTATCATAGTGTAACATTGTGGGGACTTGGGGGGGACACGATGATTCAGTTAGAGGAAGGGCTTTTACAAAAAGCCCTGCCTCAGAAAATAGCTCCACCTGCCCAGGGAGGGGGGGGCGGCTCCTGCATGGGGAGAGTAGCTGGGAGAGATCTCCTGAGCGGGTCCCTGATGTGATCTCGCAGGGATCTGGACTCCGTGATCACCTCTGCCTCTCCCTGCTCCATACTCAGCTTCCAGGAAAGTGGAGAATCAAGCCACAAAGTGGAGTCATGTTTCTGTGCTTTTCACAAAACTTGCCCTTTGACAAAGCACTTGCAGGTGTGTGATTTGTTAAGCACTCACAACAACGCTGTGGGGAAGATATTACCCCATTTTTCAGCTGCAGAAATGACGGCCAGGGAGGTTGCAGGTCACAGAAGTAGTAAGAGGCAGGGTTTGGCCTGGAACACTTCCCAATCCAGCAAAATCTCCATCACAAATACCCCTTCCAATTTCACAACCACTATAAATCCCCAAGCCAAGCTGATTCTCTGCAAATTGGGGATGACCTCAGGCAGGGCCCAGATTACTGTGTCCAGAGAGAAGCCAGGGAGAAGGAGGGTGGCCCCAGTCTGTGCCAGGGGAGGAGGGGAAGAAGGAGGAATTCTTGGTAGCCTCTTCCCACTGTGCTCCTACAATGAGCTGCACTTCGGGCCAGGGACCAGGCTCACTGTGCTAAGTAAGGAGGTTGCTCCAGGGGCGAGGGAGGATGGGCTGCCCAGCCTGGATGACCTCCTGAATCCTGGCTTTTGGGGAGTGGACGCTGGACCCTCCTGGGCTGCTCTCAGGGAAGGCTAAGTTTGTGCCAGAGTTCCCAGGGCTGTGTGGATACCACACAGCTGTATTCTGGGGATGGTTC